GAGGAGAGAATCCTGGCAGGAATTAAAGAAAAGCTGATTTATCATGGATCTCCCACTATGTATTTTTAATTATATCTAATGTAGGATCCCTCCACTATAAAGGGGGTGGTTATTATTTCTGTAAGGACCTAGTTTTTGCATACATTATAACTGAGATATCATACACTCATATATTGAAGAGTTATCCTTTTTTAGCTTCATAAATTGATTTATCTTGCTTAATCTATAAATCATCTTCTTCCCAACTTTGCTTATTTTTCATTCTCTACAGTCAACACTTGATATTTCTATTCATTCTTACGATTTGTGTCAAGTTATACCACATATCCTTAGAACTACGTATAAATTTAACTCCATGCGTTTTTCGAGTAAACCAATAAGTAATAACGATTTATCCAATATTTTTAAATATTTTTAAATTTACAATTGTGATACAGAATATAGATTCTAACTGTGTAAATTTATTTTTTTAGTATTTAAAAAGGATATATGAATTTTCGATGAGAATTAGACCTCTGAATCTCCTTCTAATTCCTTCATTTTTAAAGATGTAGTACTTCAGAATTAGGGTTGTTTAAGGGGAGGGTACTGGGTTCTTAAGGGTTAAGGGTACGAGGAGTGTAGAGGTAGGGGAAGGGTTCCTCAAGGTTTTTTCGTTAAAGAGATTTAAAGGTATGGGGTAAGGGTACGTTTTCTGGTACCCTACCAGTTCCCCTACCGGTCCTAAGGGGAGGGGAGGTATTTAAAGGTGCAGTACGAGTATTTAGGGGTATTTTTAAATTAAAAAAATTAAATATTATATTTAAATACAAACAATCATTAATCCTGCTTGAAATAGATTTCAATAATATCGATTAGTTCTTCGCTTGAAATTGATAGCACTTATTCTTCTGCGTCCCCACTATCTCCGGTAGATAGTACTTTACTATAGGCTAGGCATCGCCGTCTTCTTGAATTATTTCTGGAAGGCCAAAGTTTCTTCTCTTCCAATATTTCAGCAAGTCTTCATTTCCTTCATCAATGCAAACATTATTTCTAACAGTTGTTCTAGGAAAATCTTGAAAAGCATGATTATACATTTCTTGTATGTAACGGCTAAACCCGTACTGGTTAGAATTTGTTTTAAAATGAGGACTCCCTCCTTAGCATTACCCTTAGTCAATATATTACACATTTTTCTTAATAATAAAAAATTAAAATTACAATACATAGCAACACAAATATAACAAAAAATAAATGCGAAAATTAATATGAGTGCTAGAACGTTAATTGCAACTAGAGAGAGAGAGATGGAGAATTAGAGAGATATGAGAGTTTTGTGTGAAAATGAAAAGAATGAAATGGGGGTATTTATAGTTTTAAAATAGAGTCAAAGTGTATTTGAACAAACTTAGACGTTAAAAAATATAAATTAGGAGGTGTGGGTGTTAGGGGGCTAGGGAGGCAAAAATAGTTATTTTGGCTGTTGCCAACGACTATTTTTTATATTTGGTTAATGGTACAAAAATAACCACATTTAAAAAAAAATATAAGGGTACCGGTTCGGTACCTTAAGGGTACCAACTGGACCGGTACTACCAGTACTTTTCCCGATACCCTCCTAGTCCCCTTACTCTTTATCCAAATCCCCCACCCTACCCCCAATTTGGACCGGTACGGTGACGGTACCGGTAGGGGTATTACCCTCCCCTTAGACAAACCTATTCAGACTAGCCCAAAATAAACGGGTTTTTCGGCCGACTAGATGTCTTCACAGGGTAAGGGCTTTAGCCCATTAGCCTACAGTAAGGGGTGATTTGCGAGAATGGCCTTGAAAGTGGGTGATCTTGATATTTTAACCTCATTTTTCATAGCTAGAATTTTGAAGTTTAACAAGTGTTGCCCTTCGCCTGCCCCACAGGCAATACTTTTGGCCTTAAAGATTCACCTATGGGTATAACTTCTTGTATAGAAAAAGGTGAAAAAAGAAGGGAAAAATCCAATTTTGCATCTGAGAGAAAAAAAATATCAATGTTAACTAACTCATAAAATGCGATCAATATTAGCCAATTACTCATCAAATACTACTAATATTAGCCCAGATGACTTTTTGATTGCCTACTTCAACGTACATCAAAATATGTTCAATGAACAACTAACTCTTAAAAGTGAACAACATATACTGAGAGAGGATAATCAAAAAAAAAATCCATTCAGAAGAAAAAAGTATGCATATCATTGTCTTTGATTAAGAAATAACTATGCTTGCCGGTCTTTATATGGACATGAAAAATCTCCACAATAATAAATTATGATCTTAATTTCAGTCCCTTAACAAATGCTGTCAGGAATCCAACTTTAATAATTTTATCCTACGCAAGTAATCAATAAAAAATTGGTCAAGAGCACTAACAAGAGTTATGTTGCACCCTATTTTGCATGAGTCAAAATAAAATTCAACTAGTGGTTTCCCTCACCACCTAATATTTAAAGGTATATTAAGGTACTTATTTAATTGTTAAGATCATTATCCTATTAGTTTGTTAACCAATGAGATTTGAGTAAGGGTTCTTGTTCTTCTAAGGGGAAGGTGTTAGACACCCCCTAGAATCTACCTAAGGTAGCTCTATAGGACTTAGACTAGGTTCGAGGAATAAAAATATCTATATCTACTTAGTTAGTGCTTAAAGATGTGCGCCTTATCTAAGTGTATGTTTTAAAACCTATTAATTTTGGAAGAGAAGCAGTGTATATACCTTGAAAAAGTGTAGATTTTATTTGAAAAAAAAAGTCTTTTGAAAAATGTCTATTAAATGAGTGCTTAGAAAAGTTGGTTTATAATACCTACTTCACTAATAAAATGAGCTTATGTTTTAAAATATTTGACGTTGAAACAAAAGTGGCCATTTGTATAAAGTAAGAATCATTTAAGAAGGTGGAATTTAGATATACCTTGAAAATTTGATTTCAAACCTTATATTCAAATTTGAAGAAATCGTTTGAAGATCTTTTAATCGCAGCAGTGTTTGTTTGATTTGCAGAAATAGCCAGCTTATGGAAATCATTTTCTGGTGTTTTCAGTTTTAATATATGTATAATTCATGTATAATATGTATATAATCGAATATAATCTGTATATACTGATAAGAAAAAAATAAATTGCAAATCCGACCGATTACTTTTGTAATGATTCCAAAAACTAAGAGGCCGTTGGTTAGAAGAATTGGAGAAATAATTCCAGCATTTAATAACATATGTATAATTCATGTATAATATGTATACAATCATGTTTAATCTACGTATACCAATTAAAAAAGCAAATAATAAATTTGGCCAATTATTTTTGTAAAGATTCCAAAAACTAAGAGATCGTCGGTTAGAAGGATTGGAGAAATAATTCCAGCATTTAATAACATATGTATAATTCATGTATAATATGTATACAATCGTGTTTAATCTATGTATACCGATTAAAAAAGCAAATAATAAATTCGGCCGATTATTTTTATAAAGATTCCAAAAACTAAGAGATCGTGGGTTAGAAGGATTGGAGAAATAATTCCACCATATAATAATATTATGTTTGGTTAGAAGAATCAATATTAATAATAACAATAACCCTAGCATAATTATATGCAATGTTTCACTGGCGGGGAAAGACTAATTCGCATAATTTTATGCAACATTTGGTTGGCGATATTAAATAATTATTGTATTAAGTTTAAAGAAAATTACATATTATATTATGTGGGTTAAAATTAATATAAAATAATATTAATATTTGTATTATCAATACGAGAAGTAAGTGTTCTACATACACTAAAAATATCCTTAAAGTAAGTAATGCTCGCATAACAATCCTTTGATTATCAATTCCTGCACAATTTCTATAATATTAAATACCGCACAATACTTCATCATTATTCACCACACAAATATTAATTTCTTGCAATTATAACCTCTAACATAACTAGCATGTGAATCAAAACGATCTCTGCGAAATCAAAAAAGGCCACTATGTTATCACTAGAAAGTGGCGATTTCCCTTGTGTCTACTGAACGTGCACATCCATTGGGGGGTCCAAAAATTCATTCAAATTAAAAGAATGAAAAAAAGGAGAAGGAAATAACTGAGAAAGAACACCAAAAAACTTTTCAACCCCGTGTTGTTTCCACCTTCATCTCTTCAACTGGGAAATACTATTTTAGGGTTGTAAGCAACTCTTTTCAACACAAAGTGGAGATTTAATCTAACCATAAAATTTATGAATTTGAGCAATTTATATTAATTGGGTCACGAATCTAACTGCAAATTGAATTAGAACGTAATTTTGAAAATCGAGTAACTGCTTAAATTTTCCAATATGATTGTTGGATAAACCAAAATTAAACAAAAATAAAACTAAAAATGAAATTCCATAATTAAAGTCGTGTATTCAAATTTCAAAATAATCGAACAGATAAAAAGACGGATTCTAAGAGACTGGTTGGATAGGAATAACAAGTAAGAGAATGACAAATTATATGGTTAATTCTAGAACATTATGATACTAGAACTTTAAAGAATATGTTAAAAATGGGTAATTGATGATACTAAAATGGAGAAATTCAATGATTATAGGGATAATTAATTCCCAAATGACAGTACATTGTGTTTTTATATTGTTCATACTTCAACGACATGATCATTGGAAACAGTTTAGAACTATTCGGCACTCCCTTAGCTTGAGCTTTTCAACTACTGACATGTTTTAAAACTTTTTTTTTTTTTCACATCTGGTGCTTTTATGCTTGGAACAATTGATAGAATCCCCACTATCAGGAGAAATTCAAAGTACGATAGTGTTTTTTTCTTATTCCAGTGGCAAGAATACACATGCATAAAAGGTCAGGATAATTATGAGCCAGATTCACACAGTAAAAGAAACCATAAGTAACTTAATTTGTAGGAATAAATGAGCTTGTAAAAGATTATAACATGATTACACAATTATGCTAATGAAGCAGAAATATGAATCGGCTTTTATCATTAAACACGACCCCACAACTACGTTGTTTCCAATTAATTTTCAATATTCTTCTAGGTCTGATCAGCTATCACAGTTACTAGCAAATCCAATTCTTTCCCCTTTCAAATCATAAATCACATTCATTCCTCGCTGCTGAACGTTACCAATAATGCTATAGCTTTCCGTTGCAGAAAAAGCCAAACATTTCACTCTATCATCTTTCATCCATAAAATCCCATTGTTTGACAACTTCACATCAGTAGTAGTACTAGTTCCTTCTCCAAAATGGAATTTAATCTCTGGTAAAGCAATTTGTTCGTATCCATTGAAGCTGTAGCAGGTGTCCATCAGCTCATCAACATTTTCTAATAATGTGTAACTCAACATGGACTCTCTAAATGCAGTACGAAGTGCAGAGTAAACCACCTGTGGCAATCGAGTGATTACCGTTCCACTGTCTATAATTGTTCCTTCATTAGTGAATGTTATCGACGGGACGTTGAGTTTATTTCCAGCTACACTTATTCCAACTAGGTCAAGATAGTAGTATACTGGTTCGGGGCCTTTTACCAATGGTGTAAATTGGAATGAACAAGTGTACAATATTTTTAGCACTTCCGTCCCAAAATACATATTTCCAACAAGGCTATTTGTTAATGGGATAAAATAGCTAAACATTTTCATTGACGAATCACTTTGAGATGGTAAAGATAACTCACCTCTGCCAAGTCCAAGTATTCCAGCTGCATCACCAAAGTTATTGCCAGTTTCATCAACATTTTCTTGGCCACAACCAAATCGGAAGTTCATTATTGCACCAAAACCATCTATAATGAGAATATCACATCCCCAAGTACCATTTGTATACGAGTTATCACCATAAATGACGTTAAATATACCATTGCACGAACTGTTTGTATATGTCAAAGAGTTTGAAGGATTGTACAGAGAATCGTCTGATTTGCAACCTTTAGTGCAAGATTGGCAACGTACCCAACTCGATTCACTACCAGTATCCACCATTAAGTGATAGTCTTGTCGTGGTGTGCCAAGACTTACCTTTACTGTATAGGACCCATAATTATAATTAACCGGATCATTACTGTAAAGGTGGTCATTAACTCTTTTATTGATTGAACGAACTCTAGCTTGATCCCAATTTAGAAGTTCGTTGGATGATGGAGTTTTCGTTCGACTAGCATTTGGAAAGCAAGGTCCATATCTAGATACGATTTCCAATTTCTGCGATCCGATTTTTGGACCTATATGATACCATAATTATTTCGTCAGCACTTTAAAACCAATTTCAATAGATGAATAAGGCAACTTAACTCTAACTCTAATACTATATCATAATACGCATATAAACATATTATTGGGAACGATGCGATTCCATACCATCACACACATACTAATGAGACACCCAAGAATTTACGGGTAGATAAAGATTAATAATTAATACTATAATATACCTGAGCTTGACCTTTGGCAGTAGGGTTTTGGCTCCAAGGAGCTGACATTAACCACCTTATAGTGAGGTGCTGCTCTGATTGCCTCTCCATAAATAGGCAGTGTTAAGTAATACACCAAAAACAAGCATGTGGAAATATGTTTAATGATCCAAGCCATATATAGAAGGAATGAAACTCAACACAGAATTTTGTGTTCGTTACATGTACGTTGATTCTTCTCTCACTCTTTATACTATTATAGGATCAACCCACAATTTATAACTTGAGTTTGAGGCACATATACTTGCAAAAGACAAGAAGTCAAGCCAACGACGACTTTGTTTTTTTTTTTTTTTTTTTTTTTTTTTGATAATAAAGGAAGCTTTATATTAGTACTACGAAGTTTGCAAAATATTACAACACATAGTTATGTCACTTAGGACATTTTCATTCCCTAGACTTGCTAGTGTATTACATATACTTTCTGGTAAATATTTAAAAAAGGGATTATCTCCTTGCTTGTCCTTTACATAAGTTTGCACAGCAACATGGGGTGGACTTGCAAAGTCTTTTGCCTTCTTGAGGTTGGACTGACTGGAAGCTTTATTAGCTAGTATATTCCCTAACGACGACTTGGAGTCTTTGGAATTCTTTTATCCTTTTCCATTTAAAAATAAAAACTTTTTTCCACACATTATTGACCAATCTTGAATCATTGACAAGGTGGGGAAGGGGAAGGACATCTTTGGAAGATTATTTTAGAAGCTTTGAACGCTATATTTATCAAATATGAGGTTACACCATTAGAAATAACTTGTTTTATATTATGTATTTTTATTAGTAATTAATATAAGCGTCAACGAAGAACTAATAAGAGAATATCCATTGTAATAACAGGGAATTAACTCACGACTAGGCCAAGATATAAACCTCCATTTATTCCCAATTATTGACCATGTCTCCTAAGGGTGAATGACACGAATGAGACACTTAGTGCTAACTTCAAGTTTAATAAGTGTTGGCCTCCCTTGCTCCATAAAAATGCTTTAAATAGCATTTTTGACTTTTGACATTAAAATTTTGCCCATAGGGCAAGCAAAGGTCAAAATATCAAGAGTGGCCAGGTAAAATACATACATGTTAATCCATTCTCGCTAAATAAAGTACTATACATCTAGGGATTGAAAGTTCAAACTTTTCTAGTCATAATACAAAAATATCATTTGAATGAATCACACTCAAATTCCCAAACTCACTTAATTTTTAAAAAGAGCATTGAGTGGTAGCTAGCGTACTAGAAATCTAGAACTTATATTATTAGGCCTCAACATAACTAATTGAATTAAGTTTCATTTACGTGCATACAGTTAAGGACATTGGAAATTTGAGAATTAAATGTCATAATTTTCGTATTATTGAAATTATTCGAATCAAGTACTAGGCTAGAGAACCTTTGACCCAATTATAATTGAAGAGTAGGTCAGTCCACTAGTAATCCAAATCAACGGGGTCTTTCATCTTAAAGCAGGTCATTGAAACCAGAATATACGCCTATTTGCAGGGTGGAAATTTGCACTTTTACTATTGAACTGATTTCTTAGAAGATCACTGGACTAACAAAAATTACTTAAGAAAGTTATTTTACTTTGTTTTGTAATTGAAAAGTTACTTTACTTTGCCCATTATAACTGAAAAGACAGTTTATACTTTCAGGAACATTTCTGGTTGTTTTCTACTTATGCGTCAATTTTCTTCTCAATCCAACTATTTAAGAAATTAAAAGAATCCAATACAACTATTTATCAGCCCGCTTCAGCACCCTACTATTTATCTATCAGGGATTTTTTATTTTTTAGAAGATAGTCTAACAGATGTAAGAAGGTTGCCTTTAAAAAAAAAATTAACATTATCCATGTTAGAGACACATGCATGTCATACCAACGGCTTTTCTTTGGTCCCCTTGTACTGCAGTAAAAAAAGTAGTAATTATTTTTGGTAAAAAACTGAAAAATATCATCATTAACAAATAAAAAATAATACACCTAAAGAGAACCTTATTAATTCCAAGAACATCTCATAATAGGGCCTCAAGTTAAGCACTAATTACAGAAAAGATTACATCTACGAGCTCTTTTTGACTTCCTAAACATTCCTATTCTCTCCTGAATTTGTGTTTGTATCCGCTGTAAAATACAATCTTTCTTGGAACGATCCGACCGGTCGTTTTAAGAGTAATAGCTCTGACCCCCTATTTTTTGCCTTCTCCGTGTGTGTTTCTTCTTATGTGACTTGCCGGGAGGTCTTGTTTTTGGTTACGGAGTGTTTTGGGACACGTAGTCCCTAAAACGGAAGCTTAAGTCTTAGGATTTTGACCGTAGTTGGAACTATGTGAACACGACTCCGGAATAGAGTTTTGTTGGTTCCGTTAGTTCCGTTGGGTGATTTTAGACTTAGGAGCGTGTCTCAAATGTGATTTGGATATCTGTAGTAGAATTAAGCTTGAATTGGCAAAAGTTGGAATTTGGGCGAATTTGGCCGGTAATGGAAATTTTGATATCGGGGTCGGATTTGATTTTCGGGAATTGGAGTAGGTTCGTGGTATCATTTAGGACTTGTGTGCAAAATTTGAGGTCAATCGGATGTGGTTTGATAGGTTTCAGCGTCGTTTGTGGAATTTGGAAGTTTAGAAGTTCTTTAGGCTTGAATCCGGGTGTAATCTGTATTTTGATATTGTTTTGGGTGATTTGAAGGTTCGACTAAGTTCGCATTGGGTTATATGACTAGTTGGTATGTTTGGTTGAGGTCCCGGGGCCTCGGGTTGATTTCGGGTGGTTAACAGACTTGATCTAGAGTTGATGAAGCAGCTGAAGTGCTGCTGCTACAGGTGTAACCGCACTTGCGGAGTGGGCACCATAGGTGCGAGCCCGCAGAAGCGGCCAAGGATGAGTTGAGTAGAGGTTGCAGGTGCGAAGATTTTCCCGTACATGCGATGGCCGCAGAAGCGGGAAGGTGGGCACAGGATCGAGATCGAGCCGCAGGTACGATGGGTTTCCTGCACCTGCGATAGGCGCATATGCGGTCCTTTGATCGCAGAAGCGGAGTCAGCGGATAAGTGACTTCCGCAGGAGCAGGAATGTTTCCGCAGAAGCGGCCCCGCATATAAGAAAAGTCTAGGCCGAAGGTTTAAAAGTAAGAGTTCGCGATTTTAGTATTATTTCAACATTTTAGACTCGGGCTTAGGCGATTTTGGAGAAGATTTTCGAGGTGATTATTGAGGTAAGCTTCTTGTACTCGTTTTGGATCATAAAACTTGTTTCCCCACTAATTTCCCAGCCTAATTAGTGAGATTTTGAGGTGCAATTTGCGGGTTTAGGGCTTGAGTATTGGAGAGTAAAATTTGGGGATTTGGATGACCAAATGGTGTCGGATTTTGATAAATTTGGTATAGTTAAACTCGTGAATGAATGGGCTTTCGAGTTTTGTGACTTTTGTCGGATTTCGAGGCATGGGCCCGGGAGCCGGGTTGAGCCTATTTCGGATTTTGGCTTACAATTTTATATTTTTCTTGTGGAATTAATTCTTTTAGCATATATTAATTGTATCGTACTATTATGGCTAGATTTGGGGCGTTTGGGGACTGATTTTAGGGGCAACGACATTTTGGAGTAGGATTTTGCACAGCTTTGGCTTGAGGTAAGTAACATGTTTAAATCTGGTCCTAAGGGTATGAAACCTCAGATTTTTGGTATGATGTGATTATTTTGGAGGTAACGCACATGCTAGATGATGGGCGTTTGGGCGTGCACCATGGGGGATTGGGACTTGGTCCGTCCCGTGAGAATATAAAGTCGAATAGCTTATTGTTAATTACATGTTCCCTCTATCTTCTAGAAATTTGACTGCCATTCATGTCAGAAATCATGCTTAGGCCATATGTTATCACTGTTGGGACCCGCAGCGGTCAAGTACTTGTTGATTAACTGTTATTTGCTGTCTTGAACTCAGTCATAGTGCTACTTGCGAGTTATATCTCTGTTTCCTTTGTTTTCTTGTTGAGACTTGTTATTAACTCTTTTGGCTGATTTGTATGATTTCTGAAAGCCCGAGAGGGATGGAGAGGTTAGTGACTGAGATAGGGCATGAGTGCCGAGCTGTGAGCTATGTGAGGGTATATGGATAGGGTTGCACGCCGCAACGAGCCTTATGGCTATTTATGGACTGTGGATCGGGTTGCACACCGCAACGAGCCTTATGGCTATTTATATGATTTGACCGGGCTGCACGCCGCAACGATAAAGTGCTTGGGATGAAAGGATCCCCTCCAGAGTCTGCACACCCCCAGTGAGCGCAGGTACCTATTGAGTGTGAGTACTGAGGGCTGAGAGCCGAGTGATTGAGCTGTTGTGACGAGTTGAGTGAGTGTTGCCCAGAGCGGTTGTACTTGCTTTTTATTTGTTGATGCACTTAGTTGCTATTTGTCATTGTTGTGAAATTTCTGAAAGATGTTATATCTAGATCACCTGAATTTGAACTGTATAAAACTGAGTTGACTTAAACTACCGGATTTGAAAGCATGTCTATTCTTTGCTGGAACTGTTGAAAATAAACTGTATTTGTATAGCTCATCACTACCTTCTCAGTTCCTTATTTATTTTTGTTACTTACTAAGTTGGTTATCTCACGCTACACCCTGCACTTCGTACGCAGATCCAGGTGTTCTCAGTCATAACGGGTGTTGATAGTTGAGCAGCTGATTCCGGAGACAATCGAGGTAGCTGCATGGCATTAGCAGGCCTTCGCTCTCTTTCATTTTCTTTATCGCATTTCAGTTCTTATTCCTTAGATGTTGTATTATACTACTCCTGGTATAGATGCTCATGTACTTAGTGACACCCCGATGTCGGGCTAATTTTTTTGCACTTATGCTATTGGTTTTTACCCCGTTTTTATGAAAAACTCCGGTTATTTTAAATGTCTTAATTCATTTCTGTTAAATGTTGAAAGTATTTTGGAAACGTCGGCTTGCCTAGTATCGCGATAGGCGCCATCATGACGGGTTAGGTTTTGGGTCGTGGCAAGTTTGTCACACCTCCTTTTTCCCGGGGGGTGGGGGGATAATGGAGTTTTTTCAATTAAAGTGACATTAATCGAAATGGGATTATTTATTTATTCAAAGTCGCCACTTGAAATAATTTAGGGTGTCCCAAGTCACCGATTTATTTTAAATCTCAAATC